GTGAAACGACTGCGTCGAAAACGTTGCTCTGAAAGTGGGGAAAGAGATTCGATTGGTGGGGGATTGGTACTAAAGGCCGCAAAAGGAAAAATAAAGAGCAATGTGATTCAGATTGACCCCATAATTAAAATTTTCGAACCAAAAAATTCTATATCAAAGCGTAACAAACATAAAATAGTTTAATTACAATCACGATGTGTCGCGAACGCTCTGAACAAAGAACATTAGGGGTCTGGGAAAGAGCACTGGTTCCAAGATGGCGGTTCGGCCGGTAGTTCGCATCTTAGCATTTGGCGATAGTCTGACGGAAGGTTGGTGCGATTTTGGGACGAAATTCCACCCCTATACCCGTAAATTACAAACTCTTATTCAGTCCCTATCCAAATCTGTTGATGTTGTAAACAGGGGTGTCAGCGGAGAAAGAACCGACCAAATGAGTGATAGACTTCCTTTAGTGTTGAACAGAGATGGACCATTTGACCTTGTGATTATCTTGGGAGGCACTAACGACCTTGGTTTATCTTTAAATAAGGACGGTGAGCCTTTGTTTCGACGCTTAAGATCCCTCCATGAGCTAGCACTCCGATACTCGCCATTATCTGTAGCAGTGACAATTCCGGAAACAGGTTACGAAGCTATGGACCGATTCACAGCTGTGAAAGAGAAACGTTTGCAAGTGAACGCTCTTTTGAAAAAATACGTGAAAGACTGTGGTGGTAAAATGATTCTGTCTGACTTATCAGCAAAGCTGCCACGGGAATCTCTGAGTCACGAAGATCGCAGAAAGTTCTGGGAAGATGACCTCCACTTCACTCCGGCGGGGTATGACAGAATGGGTGAAATAATTTTCGAGGATATTAAACATTGCTTCATAGAAAGCGAGGAAACACGAAGTCGGCTATTTGACCAATCCACAAGTTTTCGCACGTTACCATGAGGAATATAGTCCATTGTTAGGTATGGTTTTGTCAGACGCTCACACCCTCAGGCAGGCCATTTTTTTCTCCCCCTCCCTGCTGCCCTTCCCGTAGGAAGGTTACCCCATGGCTAAGCCCCGCTTTTAAAGTGCAAATGCTAACCTGTTATCAAGCTGGAATTACCAGAGCAGCAAGATGAAAAGAAGTCCAACGTCAATGCAGTATGTGGCTACCAAAGTTAAGGCAAAAATTTTGTGTTATTGAATATTAGTATTATAGAAGAATTAGAGGTGAAATTTGAACTGGCAAAACATGTTTGTAACATATTGTAATTATTTTTACCCTGGAATATAATAATATATTATAGTATCATCACAGAAGTTACTGTACACAAATGAAGACGCAACCAAATATTACAGTGCTCCTGACGATGTCATTGCGTAAGCCACAAATAAACAACAAATAAATTTATGTCTGCGGCATCCCTTGCCTGTCAGTGTCACTAAAACATACATCAATAAAACAGTCTAGGAGGTGCTTTTAGAGACCAAAGGGCAGTTAATCAGGGCTTGTGGAAAAAATTGCATTGGAAAAGAACTCTTGGCAATAGCCTTGATAAGTTGCAAGCTAGTTCCAGTCCAATATTGAGAATACGAAAATGGTCTATTAACTACCTGTTTGTCTCCTACAATGCTTGGGGGTAATCAGAGAGCCGTTTGTGCCAACTTCCTGTCACACTGTAGGGCCTAAATGGTAATAGTCCATTCATGAAATCCTATTTTAGTGCCTGAAAATGCGTTTTCAGGCAAATAAATTGTTCCATTAACACCTTTATTGGAATGAAAAGAGAGGATGCACATACTCTCGATGGAAGTTCCTCTTCTTTTAATCTTGACATAGTAAAATTACAATAAGGAAAAAAGACTCAAGATATTCACTTTTCACAAGTGAGTGATAGCATTATCAAATAGAAAATATAAGTCTAAAATATTATGTCAAGTAGCAGAATATAAATTCAGTTACATGTAAATACTTTCAGAAAAAAAGCTGTTGAATAGAAATTTTAGTAACATTGGGAACTTCACAAACTTCAACAAGGAAATACAGGAAAAGTGACTATTAGATGCAGCAAAAAAAAAAAAAAAAACAAAGAAAAGAAAAGAGCAGAACAGAAATACAGAGCTTTAGCACACTATGACTTGAATATTTAAGATATTTTGAAACACTACATGCAATGTGACATGGAAGTTTCTACGTAGCAAGTAGTGTAATCAACTGTCCTAATGCTGTTAAATTGTTAACACACTGGGGGAAGATCACTGGCAGGCACGTCCTGAAACATAAGCCCCACAGGGCTGACAATTCTCTTTCCCACCTTTGTTTCATGTATCCAGGTCCCACTTTGTCAGGTAAGAAAGGACCCATTTCAATTCCCCACTTCTCCCCCCCCTCCCACCCAGTCCATTTGAATTTTTCTGGATCTGTTACCAGTCTTGACTAATACATGGCTAGGGTTGCCTAGACAGTCATGGTCTTACATTGCTTTCTAATGCACAAGATACAACAGTCACAATTACAAAATTGGAATCATTACAAGAAAGAAGTAAGGTTGGCACAAAACAGAGACAGTAAATAGAGTAGCTGGTATATAGGGCTGGGTGTTACATTTTTAATCCAGCCATTCAAACAAAAAGAAATAACTTAACCCTCACAATAGGTTCTGTGTAGAACCCTGTCACAAAGCCTTGTCTTAAAATAATTAAAATGGTCATGGTTTTTGTGTTGGAATGTCAAAGCTATCCATCCAGCAACTTTTTCCATGGAATTATTGATTTTTAAAGCCATTTTAAAAACCCTTAGAAGTGCCATAAATGAGGCTTCTACAAAGGGCCTATAGTAGAACATACTGAAAACTTGCAATGATATTATTATGAAGTTCAGCTTTGAAACATTGTGATGCATATTTCCGGCATTTAAAATACAACATGATAACTTCAATTTTAAGATTCTGGCGGCACAGGTGACGGAGTCTGGCCAGGTGTGGCCGATGTAGGTCGTATTTTAGGTTTTGGTGCTCTACTCAGAATAGCTGATATTTCAGTTCTTTCATCGTAACTCTTCCAAAGTTCATACAGCTGTAGAATCTCCTGAGTGATTTCCAGCACTTTGTCCATATCAACAGACAGATCGGCAAACCACTGCTTGGAATCTTTCTGTTGAATGACGCACGCCATGTAAATGGCAGCCAATGCAATCTGGTAAGGAGGGTAGATGAGAGAGACATCAGTTCGCAAACTGTCATTCAAGATACGCCAAGCAATTGGTAGAATGGCATCTTCCATTCCAAGGTCGGCAACATACTGTGTGAGAGGTCGATAAGGATGGTATACAATCAAACAACAGTCCATCATCTCTAATAAGAAGAATTCACATTCCAGAACCTGCAAGAAGAAGATGTAAATGAGCTGAGTTATTTAGGTCATTTAGTTTGTAAGCCAAATACTTGTGAAAACAGTAACACTTCTCATCAGGTGGTATATATATTTTGGTGACCAAAATAATCAATATGTCTTTTGATGGAACACTGAACAATTCAAGTGGGAGAGTTAACATCAGGAGAACTCAGTATTGTTGAAAGGAATTTGTCTTCTGAACTTGTTTGGCCTTAAATTAATGTACACCTGACAAAATTTAGGATTGTTCAAGAATAACCAGAATCTGGAACTTACTCACCGGCAGAATAGACTTAGCTAATGCTACTCCTACTAGTTTCAAATCTCATCTTTATGACTACTACTCTCGTGCTGTCAGAATGAACTACAACCCAGACAATTCTAGAATGTTAAAAACTATCTGTTTGAATTGCAACACCACAAGATTTCTAGACGTACCAATAATGTGCTGCACGTAATGTGGTTTTTCTTTCTTTCTTTTTACTTATATTTTATTTCTGGGCCCGCAGTGATTGGCTACTTAGCTGTTGCCATGTCCCTGCCAAACCTCTACATATTGATTGTAATTTTTTTCTTTTTGGCATCATAAAGGCAAAGCTAATAAAATAAAAATCCAATAAATAAAATTATGGAAAATAAAAATTAGCCGATGAGAGTGTGCAAATTTCTGCAGTTATCGTAAAAAATGAAATAGTGTGTCACAGTCATCATCTCAAAAGAGTAATTTCAGCGATCACAACTGGGAATGTTGTTACCATTACTGATAACATTAAGCTTAATTAAGTTTGATTATTGTGTTGGATTAAGTTTACAAATAAAAACTGTGAAATAGAGTGTGTTTTTCAATGTAAACCTCTGCCTTCAGCAGCTGATAATCATTATCTCTCTCAACCTCATTCACGATACAAACTATTTCTAATGATGATGGCTTACTTGAGACATTCTGTAGGGAAACTGCTCGCCGGGAAAAGCAAAAGAGAACTTGTTTTTTACAACAGTATTACAAGCTGCAGTGAAGCGATTGTTGGATATCACACCGCACTCCTCTGTCTTATGGGCTAAATAAGTGCATGTCGGAGCCATAAGGAGCGAATCTATACTCTTCAAAGAATTCCTCGCATAAAATCTTTTGTAATAGAGCGTAGCTGTGGCAATGACTTGCTGTCGCAGCTTCAAATGTTCGCCTAAAGCTTGGATGAAGTTGATGAAAAAAATGTGGATTTTTTTGTAGTCCTCTTCCTTCAGGTATTGGTAGTCACGCTGTCTTTCAAGTTGAATTTCTTCACGGTCAAGGAGCCATTGATTGCAGTGAGAAGAAAGCCAAAAGTTCGCCGCCATTTTGGACAAAGC